TTGCCCGGCAAAACTGAATAAAGATCTGATCAAAAGCATCCAATTAGTGCTCATGTTTTACAGATGAGGGACACTGAGGCTGAGATACAAGCAATTAAGACAAAATGAGCTACTGCAGATAAAGTTTCCTTGCAATTTTATTCACTCTCATTAAAGTATTATTAGTCAGAAACCCTGGGAAATTGACTGTAAGTCACATAGAAACTTACCAGTTGATCTCAATTTGCCCCCTGTCCATTCCTGTGATAGAAAATTATCAAGTTCACCAGGCTTATTTTGAACAAACAGGATGAAAAAATAAGAATGAATTATGATTTTATAAGCCTGAATAAACAGAAGATATCATATCCGGCCTGTGATTTCTTCAACATTACAACTTCTATATCTGAAGTTGACACTGTATGTTTGGTATTTAGTTTATGTAATCAAATCACAGGTTGCTGTAGTTATTTTACCTATTGGCACCACAGACTCAGAACAATAGCCAGAGGTGGGATTCAGCCGATTCGGAGCAGTTTGGGTGAACCAGTAGTTACAGCCAGCGGCTTAAATCCTATATTTCCTTCTTTCTGGCTCAGCTGATTCGCGCGACACAGGTGATTTCCACTGTTCTACTTACCGGGGCTGCCTTAGAAGGTAAGCAGCTGAGCTTCAAATTGCTGTACTTTGAATGCTGCGTGCAAGCGCGTTAGGGGCGCACGCTCACAGAACCGGTTGTTAAATCTGTTGCAGCCCACCACTGACAAAAACCTTGATAAAGAGTTATTTTGTAGTAGTAGAGTAGTTTGCAACAGGGCAGCAATGGTCCAGGTAGGACGTGATCCTTGGCTTACGCCCACAATTGGACCCAAATTTAAGTTGTTAAACAAGATGGTTGTTAAGGGAGTCACACCTAATGTTATGACCTTTTTTCCACATTTATTAAGTGAATCACTACAGTTGTTAGATGAATCAGTCATACATGAATCCAGCTTCCCACATTGACTTTGCTTATCAGAAACCAGCTTAGAAGGTTGCAAATGGTGATCACACTGCAACAACTGTAAATATATGCTGGTTGCCAAGCACCTGAATTTTGATCACATGCCCATGGGGATATTGCAACAATCATAAGTGTGAAGACCAATTATAACTCACCTTTTTCAGTGCCACTGTAACTTTGAACAGTCACTAAACAAATGGCTGTAAGTTTAGGACTAACTTTATTACTTAAAGCTTTTCACCAATGCATCTATAAGCACCCTAGAACAGTGTTTCTTAATCATAGCAGATTTAAGTTGTGTGCACTTTAACTCCCAGAGTTCCCTAGACATCATGGCCTAGAACAGGGGTGTCAAACTGGTGGCCCGCAGGCCAGATGCGTCACACACAGGCCACACCCACCCCAGCCCTGCAAAGGGAAAAAACATCACGATACGTCACATGACGGCAACATGAGGCAGCAAGTTTGACACCCGTGGCCTAGAAGATCTTGTTTCCATTTTGAATGTGAAAGAGATTGGGTCTGTAGGAAGTCTCCCCTCCCCAGAATAAAATATTCTTTATTCTTAATATTAAAAAGAGACAGAAACGACTATTTCCTCTGAAGGAGAAGAGGAGAGACATCTTCTTAAAGGTAGAAAGCAGCCCCAGTCTCCCTGCTATAGGAAAACAGCCTCAAGTTGAAGCATGAAGAGGTTAGTCTTTAGGAATGGAGATTTTGTATCCATTCAGAAAGACTGGGCCACTCTATTCATAAGGAAAGAGCAACCAGAAACTCCAAATAAGCAATGCAATACGCAAAGAGCCAAAGCTGATAAGATTAACTCAAACAAACAAAACACCTAGGATTTGCATTTTCCCTTTTGCCTGTAGAGTCAGCCATTACCCCTACATGACCCTATAAGAATCTGGCATTAAAATATTAAAGGACATATTCTTGCACAGTAACAGGCATCTCAATCACAAAGCCCCAAAGAATGAATAAAAGCCCACCTAGTCTCAACCCCCGTTTTGTCAGCCACCCCAGAAACATGCTGCTGTCACTGAAGTTTCTAGTTACCAAATAAATGGAGATTTTCTTTCCTGCAGCCTTCCTCCATTTTATTTTAGCATCTTACTCCCGGCTTGGAACCGGACCTGATTTTTCTTCCAATGAGTCATTGAATCATAAGACTGTGATTTACCTTAGCTGTAGGCTAAGTTACTGGCTTATTTTAACAAAACAGGGTTGACATTAAGGAAATTTTAGGGAAGTGATGTAGTGGGAAATTGTAATCATAAACAGCAGTGAAATCATCCAATGCAAAAGTGTCAAACCCACATCGTCATGGCATCATCACGTGACGTATCGTGACTTTTTTCACCTTTGCTAAACCGGCCGTGGGCATGTCCAGCGTGTGACGCATCCAATAAGGCATCTAAGGATATATTTTATGAGTAATTTCTATTACATCATGCAATCTGGACATAGCAAGTGTTCACCAGCACATAGGTTGATGGGATTGAAAATGAGATATTTTAAAAAAAAACAGGGCTATATGAATTTCAGGGATAAGAGCAGCTTCTGTTTTCATTTATACTAAATGGTGCCATGGAAGCATCAGTGTAAACAAGCCCTTAAGCTTCTGTCTGTAAACAATTTCTGTAAACTGTTGTGATGTCTTACCCTTGAAAAATCCGTGCAATCATTACACAAATTGTCACTATATTCCTGCTTCCTATGTTACAGCTATGAGGGGTGATATATTGTCACAAGGATGAATCACTGAAACCAGTCATTTCTAAGTTAACCTTTATTATTTTAAGATTCCTGTTCCAGTGATCAAAGGTCTTGATCCAATCTCTTTGCTGACGGATGATGCAACGATTGCTAAATGGGACAATGAAGGATCGCCTAGTGATAATCACGTCTACACAAAAGACCACTATTCTTGCAAACTGTGAATACTGGCTTCTATTGATTGATCCCTGTGGCTTGGGGTCAAATGGATAAAAAGCTAGCTCAGATTTGAAAAATCATATATTTGAGTCAGACGAGATAAGCACTCATCAGCAGCTCTAGCTATGAAGAGGCGTAAAAACATATATGCCTAGAGGTAACAGAATAACAGAGTTGGAAATAACCTTGGAGGTCTTCTAGTCCAACCCCCTGCTCAAGCCGGAGATCTTGTACCGTTCCAGACAACTGACTATCCAATCTCTTCTTTAAAACCTTCAGTGTTGGAGCACCCACAACTTCTGGGGGAAAGCCATTCCATTGACTAATTGTTCTCACTGTCAGGAAATTTCTCCTTAGTCCTAGGTTGGATCTCTCTTTGATAAAGCTTCTATCCATGACGTCTTGCCCTGCCTCAGGTGCTTTGGAGTTGATGAAGTCACACCCGCTACTTTGACTCCCAGCGGCAGTTTACTTTCTCTCTATTCTAGAAAACCAATTTGATCAAAATAGATACATGTTGGGGATTTCCTGTCCATCCTATAACGTTTTCCTACTCCGTCTGCCTTTCTTAAACTACAATCCTGAACAGAGGTGGGTTTCACATAATTTTACCACCAATTCGCCGCGCACCAAAAATGTGAGTGTGCATGCTTTGCTCGCGCACGCGGCTTGCATGCATGTGCGCGGCTTTGAAAACGTGGCTAAATAGGACAGTATAGCGCCAGGGTGGGTGGGCAGGCCCATCACAGGTCGCCACTACTGGTTCTCCCAAACCGATCCGAACCGGCTGAATACCACCCCTGATCCTGAATATGCTTACTTAAGATAAGCTCATTACGACCGGTACCGCTTACTTTTGAGTAGACGTGTATAGAATTGCAATGTTAAGGCTCTGAAAGTATAATGATGTCATCAAGAAGGAATTGGTTTTAACCCAAAACTTAGAAGAATGATTCAAATGAATGCAGAGAAGATTGAACAAAGTCACCTGCTGGTTTCATTCCTTAAATCCTGGTTTTGCAAAGATCAGTCTTGTTCTTGGCCCTTTTTTCAGTCTACACCAGTGGTGGGTTGCCCCCGGTTTGGACCGGTTCACAAGAACTGGTAGTAAAATCGGTGGGAAGCTCCGCCCACCGATCTCAATGTCATCAGGGAGCTTCTGCACATGCGAACTGGTAGTAAAGGTAAGTAGAACCCACCTCTGGTCTACACCAGTTGAAAAGAGGGAAATAATGTATTTTTAGTTGTAAATAACTTAATCTCAACATTAATTCTGTTTTGAGAGAACTTTCTCATTTCTCCTAAATTGACAAAGACATTTACATTTGCCCAAATGTATGATAGTAACCTAAGATTAATGTTTGAAAGAAAAGCACCCTTCAGAACTCTAGGAAAGCTACTGAGGAAAACATAGAGTGAGATTTTTCTTGAATGGGTTCGCTAATGATCTACACATCTTAGTAGACCTTGGCACCAAGCCTACTGTGTTCCATTACTAAAGAAACAAATTACTGATTCATTTTTTGATCCAGCTGAGAACAACAAGCGGAAAGTAATAAAAAGGTTTCTGCTTCTCTAAGAAGTATGTTTCCATGGTGTACTTAATTTTTTTCTAGCCAATGGTGGAATCTCTGTAATCTTCATTCTCAACTGAATGGGTGCTAAACCTACTTCATCAAGCTCCTTATTAAAACCTGTATTTGCTCAGGTGATAACAGTATGGGGGCAGAGTTGGCCTGATACCCTTTCTTCTACATCATAACCAGGGATTTGGTAGAGGGAGAGTCAGAATGAGCTTCTGATTATGCATGAATGTTTAAAAGCCCTCAGTTGTTAGCGTGTGATCTTGTAGTCAAATATAACTTTATTGATTAGTCAGTTGACCATATCAAGAAACAATGGGCATTGGCCATAATAAAATAAATAGGATTAATAAAATAGGATTAAATAAGGTAAAATGAAGTAAAATGAGATTAAAATAGAGTAATAAAAGATAAGAGTGAGGTAAAGTTATGGAATGGAATGGAATGGAATGGAATGGAATGGAATGGAATGGAATGGAATGGAGAAACATAAGATGGGTACTAGAATACAAAACAGTATTTGTTTAGATCAGGGGTCAGCAACCTGCGGCTCTGGAGCCGCATGTGGCTCTTTCATCTCTCTGCTGTGGCTCCCTGTCACTCAACTGCCAATGTGCGACACCTACCGGTATACGATTTATTGAGCTTTTCAACCCCTGGTAGGCCAACCATGGATAAATCCAAGAAAAGAAAAGTTTCAGAGAAAACAGAACATTTAATTCAACTACATATGCTAGTTTTGTGGTCGCTCAAGAAATAGTCAGGGACTGGTAGGGTTTTGTGGCTCCCAGTGTTTTCTTTTCTATGGGAAACGGGTCCAAATGGCTCTTTGAGTGTTTAGGGTTGCAGACCCCTGGTTTAGATGAATGAATGTGTTTTGTAAAATATATTCTTAGCTGAACAGTTTTTAAATAGTAATTTTATTAAAAATAAAAAACTAATGCAAACTAAAATGTAAAAGAAAAAATGGAAAGTGCAGAAACAAAAAAATAGAGAAGAAATAAAAAATAATATAATAAAGCAAAAAAAAGAGAAATGTATAAAGAAATGACTTATTTCTTCATCACAACTGGTATAAACAATTTTTTAACTTATCACCATCTCTTAAATTAAAACAAAACTTTTTTTCCCATATCACATCTCTTATCTATAAACAAATCCTTAAAGCCTTGTCATTTCAGTCCTGATGTCAGCAAAAGTTCATTAAGGGTTAATAAAAGAGATAACAAAATATATCTTTTAATCTTAATCAAAGAAATCAATTCAAATAATGTCTTAGAACTTTATTTCTTCTCATTTTTTGTCCCTTTTCACAAAAGTCTTTGAACTTTAATGAACTCTCGAACTCTCTTTTGTAAATCCAACATGGAAAATTATCCAAGTCACTCTCTTGGTTTGTTATTTGTATATCCCTTTTCATTATTAAGATCTCAGCTGGCTTATTTTGAATCCCCGGGTGGCAATTCTTTTTATATTATTCTTGTAGCCTGTTATTTTTAAATCCACTTTCAGGTCAGTCTCCATCTTGTCAGATATAATTTCTCCAGGTCTAGCGATCAAAGCAGATACTCTTAAAAATAACCTCTGACTCCATTGTTCAAAAAAATATTCTTCATGTTTTGCTTTATTCCATAAATCAAATTTAAGTATTCTTCTCCTTAAATTGTAATCTTGTTCCTTCTGTTTCCATCAACTTTCAAAGTCTCATCCTATCAGTTATTTTTTTTAATGAAAATTCTAAACTAAAGCATTTTCTTATAGGAAGGATTCTTATAATTAATTCCAAAATCTTATTTCAAATCCATCTGGGCCCTTAGTCTGTTTGTAACTTTCCAAAATCAAAGTTCTAATCATCCCGTGGCTGTTTGTTTCAAAGACTCCTTAAACTTGTTTTCAAAACTTCTTTTGCTAAGGATTGAAGGAAACTCACACGGTGATTGCTTGTTAAGTGAAAAGCAGTTAACGAGCAACATCCAACAGGAAGTATGTGAACCATGTGTCCTTTTTGAAGTTGCCAACCACAGATTCAGCAAGATGGTTATTCCTTTGTCTCCCAGAGCCCTAAACCCACTGGTGTCTACTGTCTTGTGGTCTCTTGCAAGAAACAACGGTCTGCAGTGGTGAAATCCTCCGTGGTTTGCCACCGGTTCTTTGCCCACGCATGCGTGGTGTGCGCCAAATGCATGCTGCATGTGTATGCACATATGCACCAAATGCACACTGCATGTGCGCATGCACAGTGCGTGCCAAACAGCTGCTTCATTCAGAAAAAAGACACTTAACAAGGTAAGAACAGCGAGGGGGGGAACAGCTGTGCCACGCTATTTAGATTTGCTAGAAAGCAGGATATAAATCGCTCGGCACAGCTGATCGTCGGAAATACCGGTTCGGACCAACTGGTAGCTTTTTTTTACTACTGGTTCGCTGAACCGGTGCGAACTGGTAGGATTTCACCACTGTCTGGAGCACTTGTGGGTGATCTCAAATACTCTCCTAGTTTGGAGAGAAATTACAAAGAGTCAGTTAATTGACCAGTTCTTCATTCCACCAGAATTATCAGCTATGCTTTCAGCAGAGCTGTCTTCAATTTGCCTGGAAGTTCCCTGAGCTGAATAGTCCTGACTATAAACTTAGCAGTTCTAAATGATCATATTTGTATTTGTGTTCTGAAGGAAATACATGTATATCCTTGTAGGAAGTTAAAACCCACCCCTCTCCTAGAAAAATGAAATATTTTAGGAAATATTAAAAGGCAGAATATTTCCCCTAAAAGGGAGTCAGGAACTCAGCCCCTACCCGCCCCCCGCCCCCCCGCCTTTGTTAATGGGCCATTAATGCCTAAGCCAGTCCATTCTATATAACAAAGATCTATCTCCTTCAAGCAGAGCCATTTAATTGCTCTTCATTGCATCACCCAACAAGATTCAACCAAACTTAGCACACAGACAACCTACAAAGCTAGCCGTGACCTCTGACAGCAACCAATCAGGATACTCTTCCTGTGCCCCAGGAAGTTCAAAGCCAGAGAGCAGGGGTGGGTTCTACTTACCTTTACTACCGGTTCACAATGAGATCGCAACCGGTCCGAACTGGGGGCAACCCACCACTGCCAGAGAGGGTATAAAACCCAGGGACTCTCATTATCTTTTCCCTTTTTTTTGCCCAAGATCTCCAAGGCATATGATCATATTCATCAACAAACCTTCTTTCCAGCAACTTCCATGAATCCAGAGTCTTTTCCCCCACTTGGAACTGAACCCAGAAGGATATTTCTTCCAACACCCTGTTACCAGTAGCTATTGATAACTTTAGCTACCAAGAATTTGTTCAGTCCCCTTTTTAAAGCTAGCTAATTAGCACTCTAAATCCTTTTTATAAAGAGGCACCCAGAACTGTACACACACACAATATTCCAGGCGATGGTGCAAACTTCCTGAAATTTTAGAGTATGTGACAGATTAAGATGTACCAAACAATTGACTCTGAGCTCAAAGTATTTATTATCTGTGGAACAGCATTCCAGGCATCAGCCGTGGTCAAGTACAATAAGGGTGAACAGATACAAATAAATGTCTTCGCAGGCATTTAAACTTTCTGACAGATCCCTCTATCTCCTTGTATTTAAACATTTCTCTCTACATCTTTATAGGTGGGAAATTGCTTGGAAAGCATTTGGAAATAGTTTCAGTCTTGTTGCTTTTGTGGAGTCTGGGTGACCCCTGCTAAGAATGGATTCTTCTAATCTAAAGGGTTGCCAGATACAAGATTTAAAAACTGGGAGATTTTATTAGGTGGTAGCAAATAAATTCAGAAAATTATGTTTACTGACTTTTAGTTATCATCTGGACAGAAGCGGTGGCTCCATTCCTGAATCTAAGTGGCTCGCTGTTTATTACAAATTTTTTTGTGTGTAATATATAATTGTTAAAAAAGAGAGACAGGGTGTCCATAGCTTTCAGAATGAATAGCCATATATATCTTATGGAGGAAAAGATAATTAAATATGTGGTATCAGAGGGCTCTGTGTTCTAACTATAAGCAGCTATAATAAGAATAAGAATTTCTGAACAAGAATAACTTCTGACAGGCAGTTGGCCCTATTTACAAAACCCTAACCCTTTAGAGACAGACTACATAACATAGAGTGCAAAGTTTCTTTATGTCAAATTTTAGCACATTTAATCCAGAGGGGAGAAAGTTAAATATAGGCTTAATATTTCTATAAATTTGTATAGCAATCATGGGAACTTTGAAAAGTTTCTTGGATTGCTAGATACCCTTACCACAGAGATTAAAAAGCATTAAAATCAAATATTTAAAGGCATTAGTTTTTCTTTTCATAACTTTTGATTGTGAGAATCAAATTGGAAATGATAGTAATGCTGTCTTTCTTAACTCTAAATGCTGGCTATAATTACTGCCAGTGACTTTGAAGGCTTTGGACGTCTCAACCAAGAAACACCATTTACTTAAATGGAGTTGCCCACAGTTCCAATCATCCTCTTTCCGAGTTGTTTTCACACTGTGTGGCCTTAATTTTCCCCAAAGTCCAAATCTTGTTTGTGAGTTTGCCTGCCTGCTGGGTCCATCTTGTCTCAATGACATCTTCCTATCAGCTGAACTCTTTGTGTTCTGGTTATCGATCTGCTGTTCAGCACAGAGTTGGAATGAAAAATACTATCTTCAATGCCTTGCTTTCTTGAGAGCATTTGATGTTTGGAGATAGGAGTCATGGCCGGTTGAGATTTATTATACTTTGGTGGCAATTCTGCATGTGAATAAATGCTTGACATCTTTAGCAAATTCTTGAGGCTTTTCCATGTCTTCATGAAATAGACACCCTGGGTAGCTTTTTCATCTTCTGTTTCCACACATTGTACTTCTTGTGTTGTTACTTATTTTAAAATGTTTTTAACAATTTGTAAACCATCCAGAGTCAGTTTGAATAGGGTGATTTAATACCTTATCATAATGGTTGGTCACACAGTCAGCCAGATGTTTAGACAGGATTTGGCATTTTAATCAATTTATTGTGTACTTCCCAGACACCTGGGATAGGCAGATGTTTGATGGTGTTGGAGGTGTCATTGCACGATGTGAGCTTTTTGAAGTAAAGCTGCCTTTTGCAATTGACTGATGCAGTGGTGGGTTTCAAATTTTTTTACTACTGGTTCTGTGGCTGTGATTTGGTGGGCATGGCATGGCATGGCATGGCTTGGTGGGGGTGGCAGGGGAAGGATACTGCAAAATCTCCATTCCCACCCCACTCCAGGGGAAGGATACTGCAAAATCCCCATTTCCTCCTGATCAGCTGGGACTCGGGAGGCAGAGAATAGATGGGGGCAGGGCCAGTCAGAAGTGGTATTTACCGGTTCTCCGAACTACTCAAAATTTCCGCTACCGGTTCTCCAGAACTGGTCAGAACCTGCTGAAACCCACCTCTGGATTGATGGTGATTTAGTCAATGCCAATGGTGTTCAAATGGTGCTCCAGATGTTTTGGGATTGCACCTATTCCTATTGATAGCATCTTTATTTCTTTGATTAATTTCTATAGCTGGCCATCACTAGTGACTCCATCTTTGCTTTCTTTTGCCACAGACAGTCTATTTCAGGGGTGAAATGTAAA